CAGGCAGAAGAGATGAGGAACAGAAAGTCTCAGGTTTCTACATGTGCTGAATCAGTCACATGGAGATAAAACCTGCTCCTCCTCCACCTCATCTGTCCCTCTCAGTTTCATAAAGACAGGTGTGCTCCACATTTACTTTGCATGACTTTTATGCATCACCTGCTCGTCAGAGTTTAAGTTCTTCAGTCACAGAGAGTCTGAACTGTTTTCATGCACTCACACTGAAAACTGCATCAGGATGATTGTCGCCAATAACTCTGCTTGTTGTCTGTTTTCTGTGTCAGGGTGAGAAGGTCTTAGTATTTATTTCAAAATTTAAAATATCAAATGTTAATATTTGTGCAAATGTAATTTAATTTCTATTTTGCTTCAAATCTAGCCTATCATTTTTCTTTATTTGTTTTATCTAAACACATGATTCTCAGATTTATTTCTCATTTCAGAGTCTTCTGCAACAATTTTTCTGAAGAGACTGACAAATCCAAGTCTGTTAGTCTTGGACGACTGTGACCATCAGCGCCACAGGGATTTCAGATATTGATGATGAATCTGAGTTGGTACCTGGCAGAAACCTGGACCAGGTTCGAAACTTCTGATATACCAGAGCATCAACTCGATTCTCAGGAACTCCGTCTCGATTCAGTGGCAGTAGATCTGGTTTCTCACATACACTTTAACCATCAGTGGTGTTCAGGCTGAAGATGCAGGAGATTACTACTGTTCTTGGTGCTCATGGTGGTGGAGTGTTCACACAGTGATTTAGAGTCGTACAAAAACCTCCCTCTGTCAGACTGAAGTGAAAACAGCCTGCTGCAAGGTGCAGAGGGTTGGTGAGAGACTGTGAGAGGAAGAACTGGTTCATGAACACAACACAAGAGTCATCAAGCAGAACCACAATGAACCTAAATAAAAGTGAAACAAACTGAAACAAACATGAAGCTTTCACTTAAATTCTCATCATCAAATCTCATCCATGAAAGAACAGGATCCTTGTATGAATATTTCCACTGATAGAAAAAAATATATCGAATAATCAACAAAATATTTTCTAAAGGTATAGATTGAAAAATAATGTATAAATTAAGATGAATTTCTTCAGTTAGTTGAAACTTTCAAACCTGACAGAGAAACCATCACAGTCTCCTTGTAAACAAAGTCACATTTTCACAGTTTTATATCATGTTGATACGTGATTAAATGAACATGATCCTTTTAATTGAATAATGATTCATTTTAAGCATCTTTCAATATTATGATTATGTAGGAGTAAACACTAAAGGCAGACAAACAGACACATCATACCAACCACAGTGGACACAACTGATCCTTAAATCCTCAACTGCACTTCTAATATAAATATTTCCTTCTCTTCCATTAAGAGTGATATTCAGTAAATCCAAGCAGCATTTCTCCTGATGTTGTGTCCCACGTTGCCTTCAGTCTGTTGAGAGCAGAGAAATCATTTCCATAGAGAGGAGAGCTTTGCATCGTCAGCTGATCCTCCAGTGAACTGAGAAGGTTTATAGTCCTGTGAGTTGAACACTGCAGGACTCAGATCTGTCAGTCAACACAGCAAGAAAGCACAACCACCATGACTCTCATCACCATCCTCATCTGACGCTGGCCTGCTGCTGTTTTACAGGTTGATTACTCAGCAACATTTGAAACATGATGTGCCGCCTTTTTCTCTCATTTCTTTTCTGCTGATAAATGAATGATTTGTTTTCGTCTGCAGGATGCAGCGGTCAGGTGACTGTGACTCAGCCTCCAGTAGAGACAACTACTCAGGATCCACTGTCACTTCTCACCTGTAAAACAGCCCACAAGATGTTTTTTTGCACTTGCTGTTGATGATGGAACCATTGAAGCTATGTCCTGGTATCAAAACAGAAATCTGGACAGACTCCAAAGCTCCTAATAACATATGTGAGCACACGTGAATCAGGAACACCAGCTCGGTTTAGTGGCAGTGGAAGGCAGCTCTGACTTCAGTTTGACCATCAGTGGAGTTCAGACTGAAGATGCAGCAGTTTATTACTGTCAGAGTCTACAATGAAATAAACAGTGCTGAATGTGTTCACACATTGTCTCTACTGGAGGCTGAGTCACAGTCACCTGACCGCTGCATCCTGCAGACAAAAACAAATCATTCATTTATCAGCAGAAAGAAATGAGAGAAAAGGCAGCACATCATGTTTCAAATGTTGCTGAGTGAATCAACCTGTAAAACAGCAGCAGGCCAGCGTCCAGATGAGGATGGTGATGAGAGTCATGGTGGTTGTGCTTTCTGCTGTGTTGACTGACAGATCTGAGTCCTGCAGTGTTCAACTCACAGGACTATAAACCTTCTCAGTTCACTGGAGGATCAGCTGACGATGCAAAGCCTCCTCTCTATGGAAATGATTTCTCTGCTCTCAACAGACTGAAGGCAACGTGGGACACAACATCAGGAGAAATGCTGCTTGGATTTACACTAAATATCATCTTAATGGAAGAGAAGGAAATATTTATATTAGAAGTGCAGTTGAGGATTTAAGGATCAGTTTGTGTCCACTGTGGTTGGTATGATGTGTCTGTTTGTCTGCCTTTAGTGTTTACTCTACATTAATCATATATTTGAAAGATGCTTAAAATGAATCATTATCATTAAAAGGATCATGTTCATTTAATCACGTATCAACTGATATAAAACTGTGAAAAATGTGACTTTGTTACAAGGAGACTGTGATGGTTTCTCTGTCAGGTTTAGAAAAGTTCAACTAAACTGAAGAAATCATCTTAATTTATACATTATTTTCAATCTATACCTTTAGAAAATATTTTGTTGATTATTCGATTGATTTTTTTCTATCAGTGGAAATATTCATAACAAGGATCCTGTTCTTCATGGATGAGATTTGATGATGAGAATTTAAGTGAAAGCTTCATGTTTGTTTCAGTTTGTTTCACTTTTATTTAGGTTCATTGTGGTTCTGCTTGATGACTCTTGTGTTGTGTTCACTGAACCAGTTCTCCTCCTCACAGTCTCTTCACCAACCCTCTGCACCTGCAGCAGGCTGTTTTCACTTCAGTCTGACAGAGGGAGGTTTTTGTACGACTCTAAATCACTGTGTGAACACTCCACCACCATGAGCACCAAGACAGTAGTAATCTCCTGCATCTTCAGCCTGAACACCACTGATGGTTAAAGTGTAGTGAGAACCAGATCTACTGCCACTGAATCGAGACGGAGTTCCTGAGAATCGAGTTGATGCTCTGTATATCAGAAGTTTCGAACCTGTCCAGGTTTCTGCAGGTACCAACTCAGATCATCATCAATATCTGAACTCCCTGTGGCGCTGATGGTCACAGTCGCTCCAAGACTAACAGACTTGGATTTGTCAGTCTGAGTCAGAAAATTGTTGGCAGAAGACTCTGAAATGAGAAATAAATCTTGAGAATCAGTGTTTTAGATAAAAACAAATAAAGAAAAAATGAAGGCTAGATTTGAAGCAAAATAGAAATTAAATTACATTTGCACAAAATATTAACATTTGATATTTTAAAATTTTGAAATAAATACTTAAACCTTCTCACCCTGACACAGAAAACCCAAGACAACGAGTTATTGGCGACATCATCCTGATGCAGTTTTCAGTGTGAGTGCATGAAAACAGTTCAGACTCTCTGTGACTGAAGAACTTAAACTCTGACGAGCAGTGATGCATAAAAGTCATGCAAAGTAAATGTGAGCACACCTGTCTTTATGAAACTGAGAGGGACAGATGAGGTGGAGGAGGAGCAGGTTTTATCTCCATGTGGACTGATTCAGCACATGTAGAAACCTGAGACTTTCTGTTCCTCATCTCTCTGCTGTTTCTGTCTTTGCAAAGCTCCCAAAGGTCTCTGTGCTGATGAGCAGGAGCACACTGCCCTCTGCTGACACTTCAGGTTCATAACAACTCCATGTTTGCATCATATTCATTTTGTATTCAGTCCTGAGATATTTTCAAGATCATGTGACATCAGTCTGTTAATCCAGCTGTGACATTAGAAGATTCTCACCTGTTCACATCAAACACATAAAGAGTGAACTCGAAGAGAAAACAGCTCAAATAAACAGGCGTAACCTGTTAGTCTCTGTTTTACAGGTTATTTGCAATTTTTATTCATATTTACAAGAATATTTAAAAGAATGTTAGGGTGAAGGGGTGAAGGGGTGAAGGGATAAAGGGAGTGGGGGTAGGGGTAAAGGGGTAAAGGGGCAAACACAGTGGGGGTAGGGGTAAAGGGAGTGGGGGTGGGGGTAAAGGGGGTGCAGGAGAGGGGGATAGGAGTAGGGGTAGGGTGAGGGGTCAGGGTGGGTGCAGGATGGATGCTTCACTGCCGTCCATCACCTTCCTCCACTTTCCTGTCACTGTGGCTGCTTTCCTTCTTGCGAGCCCAGCTCCAGTAGCTCCGTTTCTTCTCCTTTATCTCCTCGTCCTGTCCGACCTCAGCCTGACACACTGCAGCCTCCTCCTCCACCTCCTCCTCAAAGCTGGTTTCTTGCTTCTTTTTGCTCCAGAGGCCTCGTCTCCTCTTTATTTTGTCTTTTTCTTTCTGCTCCTGTCCAGTCTGAGCCAGACACACTGAACCCTCTTCGTCACCGTTGCTTTTTTTTTTCTTCTTGCCCCAGAAGCCTCTCCTGCTCTCCTTCTTCTCCTCCTCCTTCTTTTTTCCTCCCTGTCCAGCCTGAGCAGAACACCCTGCAGCCTCCTCCTCCATAGGGCTGCTTGTTTCTCTCTCTCTGCTCCAGAAGCCTCGCTTCTTCTCCTTCTTCTTCTTCTTTTTAAGGACGAGCTCCTGAAGGAGAAAGACATTATATTCTATTGAATTTTGAAAAAGGCTAATTCTGAAACAAGCTGTTCTAAACCAAAGAGCCATCAGACCAAAGAAATGTTAAAGTGAAGTAGCATACCTGAAGATTGATGCTTTTAACTATCACAGTCTTCAGTTCCTCCTCTGCTTCGCGCGCCTTTTTCACAAGGGCATCTTCTTGTTGGGCCCACAGTTTCTCCGCTTCCTTCTGTCTCCTTTCCCAGCTCTCCTCCCTCTCCACTAGTTCCTTCTTGAGCTTCTCATCCAGAGTTTTAATCTCACTTCTCATGGTGCTGATCTGAGTGTCCTTCTCTGTCATCTCCTCTTGCAGCTGGTTCACCTTCCTCTCACAATCAGCTTGCATTTCCTGCAGGTCACTGCTCCGCTGGGTGTCGCACGTTGACTTGACCATTTTTAATTCCTCCTCAAAGGCAGCCTTCATCTTGTCACAGTCTTTCATCCATGAATCTCTGACTTTCTCTGTCTCCTCCTTCTGTGCACTGAGAGTGTCTCGAAGTGAAGAGAGTTCTCTTTCCTTCTCTCTGACTCTTTCCTCCCAATTGTTGTGATCTCTGCCTGCCTTTGTGACCTCCAGAGCCTTTTCCAAATCATTGACCCTCTGTTTGGCCATGTGCAGCTTCCTACCCAGCGTCCCCTGCAGGCAGCGATTCTCGTGCATCACTTTCTGATTTTCTCCCTGCAGGTTGGCAAACTGCTGCCTCAGCGCAGCGTTTTCAGAGGCCAGCTTCATATTGCACTCTTCAGCTGAGAGAAGGGCTTGTCTGAGGGAGTTCACGTCTGAGCTGGGAGGCACTCCTGCAGGTGGCACATAATGCTGGGGCCTCCTAGTGTTGTTAGTCTGCACTCTACCAGATGCCTGAAATACATGAAAACACAACAAGTTTCTGAAAAATCCTCCTGTCTGCAAAATTATAAAATGATTTCTTGTTTTTCTTCAGGCTTTAGACCAAATATGAAGAAGAGAAAGAGCAGACTGGCTCCTGCTTTAGTGCAGTGGTGAAAAAAAGGTTTACCAAACAAGTTTCTCTTGGTTGAATGAGAAGATCTTACCCTGGGCCTCAGGTTGTATTTCCCTTCCATGATGACTGGACAAAGAGATGGTGAAGGTTGTATTGTTGTTTGACTGTGTAGGTTGACAGTAGCTGATCACTGGTGACTGGAGTTGACTGATGGTCAGGTGAAGTACTGAGTGAAAGTTAAACTGTTTGGAGGAGACGGTTCTAGACTGTTCCATCTTTGTGATGTCACTGACACAGAAGAACCAGAAAGTTCTGATCATTAACTGAGGATGATGATGTTGGTTAAGACTTTCTGTCAACAGAAACAAAGCACCAATAATTCACATACTTCAGCTTCAGAAGCAAATATTGTAGTTTTTACTCTACATTTATCTGACAGCTGTAGTTACTACTTATTTTTAGTTTAATTTTAAATGTACAAAATAATTATTGAGCTTATAAAATACAATCTTTTGTTGAAGTTTAAACCAGTAATTTCCACCCTTTTTTGTTTGTGACCCTTTACTAAATACAGTGTTTACTTGGGGCCCCTTGTCACTTGTTTCATGAATCCATTAGTCATTAGCTCTTCCACCAAAGAAAGATTTCTCTGTTTAAGTGCTCAGATGGTTTAATCTAAATGACTGAAGATAGAAAAATGGGAACTTTATCCAAAAAAGACATAACTTTGGAAGCCTTATATCAGCTTGAAATGAAATTTTGATTTCCTTTTTTTAACAAAACAATTACTGTGGAGTTTGCCCCCCATCACTTACACTGGAATCAAAGTATGAAGAAATCATAGTAACAGAATGAATGATTACAGCCAGCAAAACCTGTTTCAGTGTTCATATGTACACCTGGTTATTTTTTCAAGACAAACTTGAAATATTAACCAATTCACTTGTGACATCCATCTTGTCACCCCTGTTTATCTGGTTACCCCTTGGAGGGGTCCAACCCCTAAGGTGGGAACCAATGGGCAAAACATATGCATATAAAGTAGTTTAAACTAGGTCTATCTTTTCAGCTGTAGCCCTAGAATGCTGCTCACTCACTGGTGCATCTGTAATTTTATAATATAAATATACATACAGAATCATATACCAGTCTTTTTCTTCTTTTTTAAAAAACTTTTTAATTATGATGGCCCTACTTTATAGATATTTACTTTTATTCAAATATGATTCCAGCAATAGGTAGTACTTATTTTTAGATTAAATTTTATTCAAAAAATATTGGTTAAGTTTATAAAGTATAATCTTTTGTTGAAGTTTAAACCAGTAATTCCCACCCTTTTTTGATTTGTGACCCTTTACAAAAAAACAAGTGTTTACTTGGGGCTCCTTGTCACATGTTTCATAAATCCATTAGTCATTAGCACTTCCATCAAAGAAAGATTTCTCTGTTTAAGTGCTCAGACGGTTTAATCTAAATGACTAAAAATAGAAGGGGAGGAACTTTATTCAAAGAAGACACAACTTTGGAAGCCTCATATTAGTTCGAGATGAACTTTTGAATTCATTTTAAAACAAAACAAGCACTGTGGATTTTGCCCCCCATCACTTACACTGAAATCCCATTATGAAGAAATCATAATTGCAGCCAGCAAAACCTGTTTCAGATATTATTTCACGAGAGACTTGAAATATTATAAACCAATTCACTTTAGACATCCAACATTTCACGATACCTCACTTTGGAGGTGCCTGACCCCAACATATTTACATAAAGTAGTAATAAATAGTTCCATCTGGGCAACTGTAGGTATTAAATGCGTCCACACCGTTGCATCCGTAATTTTGTCATACAGCCTCTCAGTCTGTTTTTTTTCTTCTTTCTTTTAAAGGAGGGCTTTTTAATTATGATACTTTATACTTCTTTACTTTTACTCAAAAATGATTCTGAATTAAGTTTTTTTTTTCTCATGCATTCACTTGAGAAAAAATTGTCTGTCTTCTTTTTAAGAAAAACTTTTCTCAGAATTATAAGATAATGAGCCTCTTAATTCAGAAATATAGAGGATTTTTTTCCTACAGAAAATTTTGAGATTGGGATTTTTGATTTTCATTCTGAGATAATCATCTTGTGAATTCTGAGAAACAGTGATTTCATTACGCTCACGCTTTGTGATTTTACAGTCTTATACTTTAATTTAAGGAAAGCACCTGGATACGTCTCCCACCCTCAGTCCATAGTACAAACCGTTTTTTCACCTGCTGCAGTAAACGTTACTCCACGGAGCTCCCTGATTGGTCAGTAGGTGCTTTTCAAACTCCTCCCCCCACAGTCTGTCTGTTACCGCAACTCAGCGGCGGAGTCAGCAGCAAACCAAGCAATCAGTCAGCCAGCTGCAAGTTTTCGGGCAAACTATTAATCCAAGGTCAGTAAAATACCCCCGTGTTTTATCATAAATACCTCAAGCGTCGACACGTGTAACATTTGCTTTGTGTGTGTGTCGACCACAGGCTCAGGAAAAGCCCGAAAATGAGTCAGTTGAAGGGACGCTTTGTGACTCTGCTCCATGAGAAGAACTTTGTGACAGATCAGTTGGCGACGCTGGAACAAAAAACGGGAGTGAAGAGGGAGTATATCACCTTGGGTATGTTTAAAAAAAAAAAAGAAAGAAAATATTTGGATAAACCTTCTTAAATGCTCGAATGTACTTTAACCTGCTGGAGAGAATTACGAACTAGCTCAGGCGTTAACGTCTCATCCAAAAACGTACCACATTCTTCGTGTGTAGCAAACAAGCCACAAAGCTAACGCTGGTATGTTTAACTGACAAAGTTGCCATTCATACTGCAATGGCAGGCGGTTGTGGGCACACTGTTGCATGAGTACTTGACTTTTCAGTGTGGTTTCATATCCTGTGCCACTCTCGGCTGGCTCACTTTATTACCCTTCTCCAATATCAAAGTGCATCCAGCTCAGACCTTTATGCTACATTACAAGATCAGAGGTGGTTTATAATGCGCCTTACACAAACCTATTTCAAAATATTGCTGCTGAATGAACTGCCTCCAGTATCCCATGGACCCCACCACCTACACCACCACACCTCCCAGGGGTATTTTTATCACGTCCTGAAATATCCAGTGGGGTGGCAGAGATGGAAGGGGACTCTAGGATGACTGATTATTCAACGACAGGCTGCTCTATCAATTAGGTTTTTGGAGTTGTGTTTTGACACTGCTCTGTATTCAGTTTGCACAGTCAATAAAGACCAAACACCTCAGGCTATGCAGGCAACAATTCATCTACAATGCCACTCAGCTACAGGAAACATGTTAGCCAGGGTGACCCGCATTCAAAGCTACTGTCTTTACTGATCAGAGTTGACAGCTGAACGCAAGTATTGCATTTAAACAACCAATTTCAAGGTCACAGAGGATGCAAATGTCCACGGGTGTTGGATGCTTTATGTGAAATGTTTTGCCTGTATTTAGCTGCACTGTATCAGATTTGGAGCACAAGCATGATTGCAAATAAACCCTGAAGATGCTTTGCTATTTTCAGATAGAGTTTACAACATCAAATATAGCACTTATCTCATAATCTCATCATGATAAGTGTTGATTTTTGGAGGCAGATGCTCATTTTTAAACATAAGAAAGACAAAAAGTTTTTGGTAAGAGCCTGTTTAAATTTGGCTCTTTAAGAACTGGTACCAAAGCTATGTACTAAGCAGGACACTGAACAGCTGAAAAATGAATTTGTAACTTCTCTCTGCTAGACAAACTATGTTATGGAGACACTTTCTAAACTAGAGTTTAAATAATAAGTGGCTTAATCTATTAGTTGATAGACAGAAAATTACCATGCAACAATTTTAATCACAGATAAGTAATTTGAGTATCTTTTTAAGCAAAAATGGCTACAGTTTTCTGGTCCCAGCTTCTCAATAATGAAAACAACTGTGAGTTGCAGCTGTATTGTAAACTACCACAAACACATCTCTGGCATCTCTGAACTGCGGTTTCTAGGTTCTTACCAGCTGACATTTTCTATAATACTGATGTATCTTTGATAAACAAACTAAGGCTGATATATAGGTCCTTCCGATTTGTTGGTCTGGCTCTAATCAGCATTGTAGTTGAGAAAAAGAAGAAGCCTGGTGTCTGAGACACTTAAATGATCATATGATCACAAAATGTCAATTTAACAGATTCAGTTGGTGTCAGTTGAAGCTCAGTCAGATCTGCATTTAAATACTTCAGTTTTTTTTTGTCCCACACACACCACCAAACTGGCTCACAAAACAAATACTGGATTGTATGCAAATACCACTTGACTCACCCCTACCCTGCAGTTAGCAGAAGGTAGACCCAGACAGAGCAAATTATACCATGGCCTGTCATGCTTGCAGAACTGACTTGTTAGTTTGTGAGTGAGGCATCAGCCACTCATTTGATACTTTGACCACATGCAGGCTTGTTACAAACCTGTACACTGATAATGGGTTGCATACAAGAAATTCCTTCCCGCTGGCTCACAACATCATCTTGTACTTTGCCTTGATCCAGGCATGTTAGTTGAGCACAGTTACAAAGTTGTGTGACTGTCCTCTGTTTAGCTGAGAAACATCTCAAGTTCTTTCTGACTCTTGTGACACTCTGAAGTGTGGAGACTTATGTGCTGACTGGAGTAGAGAGGTCTCATCTCTGCTGTGCATGCAGCCAAACTCACAGAGTGAGTGGCTGTTGTTTGTTAACTTCATGTATGTAAAACCCTTCTCCTCCTGGTCTCTTAACAGTAGGTTTTTGTGATGATAAGAGGAACTGGATTCGTAGCTAAATTACAAGTCGTGCAACTCTATAATGAATAGTTTGAGTCATACAGTGCATTACAGGATTACACAACTGCGTAATGGCGTCTGTCCTTATTTTCAGTTTTTCCACAAGAAAGACATGTGTTTTCATTTAAGGCTGTAAAATCTACAATGTCACGTGGATGCATTCATTGTTTATTTTCTTAGAGCAGTGCAGGAGTTGCTTAGTCACAGCACAGCACCAGATGGCATGCAGATTTGAAGATGTTGGACAGTAAAAGGAGTCGGTTTTTTATTAATCATCACTGATTAATGCATTGGTTTATGATTTGTTGTTGTGTTGCTGGGTCTAGGGTCTTCTATTTCAACCAGTTCTTCCAGTTTCCTTCATGAAAGAGAGCTGGACAGACTGGGAACTGCATGGATATTTGTATATGAGCTGGGACAAACAAATGAGATGTAAAGAGCAGGCAGCAGGAAATAGTTGAAACGGTATGAAAGGCTTTTAGTGCTTTGGATACCTGCATGAATTCATTGTGTTTATGGCAGTTGAATTTTATATCAAAAGTTGAGTTTTGCATTAATTTGAATGATATATGGCATTAAACTGCATCTACAGCTGCTTTAGGATGATACGGTCATTCCTCATGTCCTGTATTACCCTATACCTGTTTCCGGGTTTGCATTAAAACAAGTTCCCACAGACACAAAAGCTCTGGAAAAGATCTTGGATTTCAAATTGTTTTACAAGCCTGAAAGTTTTTTGAATAAATGTAAAATATCCTTCAGCATTAAGAGGAACCATGCACTGTGACTTAAAAAGAAATGGACGAGCTAAAATGGCTGGTCAGACTGCAGTGTATTTATTACGAAGTCAGTTTCTTGCTGCCAGCTAACCAGCAGGCTGTTTAAGCCTCTGAGGGATTAAAGTAAGCAATGCAGCCAAAAAACAGCTCAGCTATAATGTCTACCTTTTTTATAAAGTCTATAATGTTCAGTTTTTGGTGGCATTATCAGAAATGTATATATTTATTTGTTTTTTGCTTGGGTCATAGTTAGATGTGGTGTTATACCTGACTACATTGTTATTTTATATAATATTATTTCTGCCCTCTGACATACATGGGGGGGGGGGATACTAGAAACACCTCTGAATATCCAGTCCATTATATCAGCTAAAACATTATTGAATTAACCCTAATGTGATGGGGTCAAAAAACTGAACAATCCAGGCAACATGAAAGTGAACTTTATGGCAGAATAATTGTATTGGACTGCATTAGATTGTATAGATGTACCTTATAATTTGGCCATGGAGTGTACGCTTTACATTATTTTTTTGCTTTGAGAAATTACAGAAACTATTAATTGATTATTAAAAAATAGCTGCAGATTAATTTGCTGTTGATGATTTCATCAATTAATAGACATTTTCAGCTCTAAATTAAACTTTCCTTAAGCACAGCAAAAGTATGTACACTTATTGACCACTTTATTAGGCACTCCTGTTTCTAATATTCTGCCCCACTTGTGTACATATAGTGAGGACAGAAAATAACCTCAATACAACAGCACCTTTAAGAACGACCTGAGTAATAGACATATAATTGAATAAACACATTTGCAACAATGTCAACAAAAACTGAACATTATAAACTTCATAAGGATAGATGTTATGGCAGAGCTGCTGTATTGAAATTAAGTAGATTGTGCAGGTTTACACTTGGGTCCCAGTTCTGCTCCACAGTCAAATTATGTACAAACCTGCTATGTCAGCATGTGTTGGGATTGCTTTGCACATTACACATACACTATAATAGAAAAACACATTTTGTTATTGAAAACCGATGGCATTTGTGGAATCTTTCACATACACGAGATGTATAAGTCACATGACTGTGAGCTTTGAGGTATATTTAAAGTCAGCTCTTCCACTTTAGGATTTGAATATCAGTGTTTGACTTGTGTTCAGTGCTCCTCCTAATCCTGTTGCTGTGCTGTCCTTACATCCTGCTATCAGACACAGTCTGCTGACAGCAAGTTAATGTCACTTGACATTAGATGTGTTTGTCAAGTAACAGGATAGCCTCACCCTCCCCTTCCTGTCCTGCCTCCTGCCCTAACCTCACTGCTACTTCTCATCTTTCTCCCACTGCAGGTGTCCTGAGTTTTCTCAGCCTCTATCTTCTGTTTGGATATGGAGCCTCACTGCTCTGCAACCTGATTGGCTTCATCTATCCAGCGTATTTCTCGTATGTATGAAGTTAAGCTTATGTCAGTAGATAGTAAAACAGCACAATATGTACAAAATCAATGCATTTAAATGTATAAATTGTAATAAACCTAAAGTGGCAATCTTAATAAATGAATGTTAAGTCACTATCTATTTACTGACTACAGACTGAGGCAGCACAATGGTTACTGAACCTATGGCCCACTGATGAAAGTAGTGACATATTTATATATTTGCTGTATAACAAACCCCAAATCCATGAAAAAATGCTGTATTAAGTTGCTGCTAATGCAAATAGAACATTTCCAACTGCCCGTCTTCATATTAAAAGCATTTGACTGGCAAAACACAAGCAGACTTTTATTATGAGGTAGTCGCAGGAAATGAAATGTTTTATCAGTGAGCTTAGCAATTACTGCTATCATTCATTAAAAATGTGTGACAGGCGTGCCGGCAACAGGCTGCACACCTCCAATCTCTCAGCCAGGTAGCCAGCTCCTTTCACTGTGCCCTGCCATTCAGACTCATGCCGTGTGCAGATCTCTATTGCTCACAGAATGATGGAAAAAGGCTGATTATTGCCTGACAATAGTTTGTCTTGCTGCCCCCCAGGACCACATTTGCTGTTACCACCAGAAACTACAGGTGTCACCAAACCAACCAGGACTGAAATGTTTGAGATTGCCACTTTAAGTCGTTTTTTTAGTTTCTATTTCTTTACTTTATGAACACTTATTTTATTCTAATACAAAATCCAGTGCAGTCAACATTTTGACTTGTTGCAGGAAAGGCACAGGTGTATCTCAACAATAACAATAATGTCTCTGTCCAGTCAGCCTGTATACACAATACTAGAGTTATAGAACTGACACACATGCAGCCATTATTAATTATTAAAGGTTATTGATTGCAGCTGTGCTGTTCCTACTAAGGCAGGTCAAAATGTGTACTGTCACTGACTGGTTTTTTCCAGCTATATTTTCGTTCTGTTGTTGTTGTTACATTCAAATAAAATAAATAAAACAACTGTTTTAAAGGATAGATTTAAAAAAAACATTTTAATCATTCCTGCTCTCCTTTCTAGTTTAGACCAGTCTAGACTAGTTTAGTCTAGTCTCAAGTCTGTTTAGAGCAAAGTTTGCTCTGTGTTACTATCCCTCCACTGCTGTTCATCAAGGAAAACCCTGAAAAATGACAAAAAGTGAGAAATTTCTTTCAGAAAACTCCCTTTATTTGGCTAACTGTGATTACTAAGGCTACGTCCATACAACTGTGTTTTAGTTTTAAAACGCATCTCTTTTGCTATGTTTACGTTTGCCATCCACACTACTCCAGAGTTTTCAAGTGTTAAAATTGAGACTTTTGGAAACTCTGCTGGACCCATTTTAGTTTGAAAACTCCAGGGTTGCGTAGCAGTCTGGATGGGCAAAAACTGAGAAGTTTGGAAACAACGACGTAGACACCCACAGTCGCTCCCTGATTTGGCCTTTTAAGAATCAACTATGAGTGGTAAAAGCAACATGAATAACGAATTACAAGCGTTACTGACCTTGTTGTCTTCGCTAGCAGCTATTGTGGAGTTAAATTCTGTATTTTAACATACAACTGCCTTTGCTGTTCCTTGTTCGTAGTATTTTGTTTAACTAATCAACTGCAGAGTAGACAATCTGCCTGCTGTTGACACTGGCTCAAGCATGCCCAGTGTTTGTGAATGGTCATTTATTGTTCTTTTAAAACAAAAATGTATTAATGGATGTATCCTAAGGGTGTTGATTTTATTACTTGCATTAGACTTGTGTGAGGAAGGGATCCCATTACGACCACTATGGAGAGAAGGAATGATTACACTGGCCTATAACTCAGTAAACAAATAGGCATATGAGACACACTTGAAAATCTTAACCTAAGTGCTGCTTAAAGGTACCCTGTGGAGTTTTTACTATAAACATCAGGTTTTTAAACATTCAGCATCACTCACCAAATCACATTGTGTGTATCCCTCAGGCCCAACAAAAACTCAGTACATTTCCAACTTCATAAAAAACATGGAAATCTTTTTTTATTATTATTATTATTTTGGGGAAACTGTATTCTCCTTTTGTCTTTTTTCTCCACATTTATGTGCTCATTGTTGCCTATCAAACACACTACTGCTACAGGCTTTTGATAAGCATCATGGTTCTCTGCAGAAGTGTGCATCATGTCATCTCTGAGTGTCCTCAAGTGCATGCTCTACAGTACAGCTAGTTAAAAAGTCAAAAATTCCACAGTGTACCTTTTTAAATGCAGTGAGTTTTAATCTCTTTATATACTCTTCACGTGACCTAATCAGTCTCCTGAATCAAACCTGTCCTCCTGTCCATTCAGCATTAAGGCCATTGAGAGCACCAATAAGGAGGATGACACACAGTGGCTGACTTACTGGGTTGTTTATGGACTCTTCAGCATCATTGAAAGCTTCTCTGACATCTTCCTCTTCTGGTTTCCCTTTTACTATGCTGGCAAGGTAGGCTGACCTTTTGGTTTTTAGGGTGTTTTTTTGTATGGGTGACATTTGGTAACTTTTTTTTTTTTTTTTTGTGCTTTCTGTTTTACTGTTGTCACTCTTTAGCGCCTCTGTATGAAGTTGTCAACTGACCTAAGTCTGCTTTCGCTGTGAAACCACAGACAGTCGTACTGTGGTGAATCACATGAGGGTTGACGTCTATGGGCCTCTCCACGTCATAACTCACCAACAGCACACTCATGTGGACAATTTGTGTAATGTCAAAATAAGGAAAACTTTCATAAATCTTTTTTATTTTGCCCCATACTAAACAATTTCTTTTTTTCTTCTTTTTTTACCAGGGTGTTATTACACAGTGGAAAAGTGACAAAATTAAGTAAAATAAAAAGAATACTTGATTTTTGAGTGAACTTTTGATGGACACTGTTGTGCCACAATGCATTGTACTAAGTAAATTGAAGACCTGCTCACAGCTTTCACACATAACAATGAATTAAAAATGGTGGTGCAACAGCCCCCTAAATATAATGGAAAAATAAACAAATAATCTTAAAGCTTTTCCCTCTTTGTGAAGTGTAATGTTGCAGTATCACTCCAAATATAACTGACGTCCAGCTGTGAACATATTGTATCATTTTCTAAAAAGTATGTTGTAAAACCCACACAGTATATTGATTGTAAAATATGTTGTTACTGTGTAGTAAATGCAAAACCATATACAAAGATTGATTTATATTAATACATTACTCCCCATCATTTAGAGTAAAAGAGTGTCTTTCCATTTCATGTCGCTTTTTGACAAGTTGTAAATTACTTTGAGACAAAATGACCCCTGTCATCACAAAGTCCTGCTTCAGCCATTGAGTCACCTCACTATCCAGTTGTTTCAGCCAAATTGCCGTGATCATCATTTCTCTGCTTCATTAAAACAGTTTGATTACAATGAATAAACTTAATCCTGGGAGAAATGGGATTAATAAACCATGCCTCATTCTGTGCAGTGAATGATGGTAAATAAACATAGGCCTGTTGTTTAGCACAGCAACAATACAACAGCACACATTTAAGATAACACATCTCTTCTTGAATGCACAAAGTTGTGCATTTAACAGCTGCAGCTATCAGTTATTGTCGTTATCCATTAACAGATGTTATTTTATTATGAATTGATTAATCAGCCAGCCTATATATGTCAAAGAATCTGATATAAATGATAACTGTTTCTTAAAACCCATGTTACGGGCCCCTCAGGAAGTTACAGCAGCCTAATATCTTAGATCTGCCCTCTGCTCTTTCCTCAGTGTTTGTTCCTGGTCTGGTGCATGGCTCCGGTGACATGGAACGGTTCTGAGATCTTGTACAAGCGTGTGATCCGGCCATTTTTCTTGAAACACCAGGCTGCCATGGACAATGTTGTCAGCGATCTGACTGCCAAGGCTAAGATCATAACTGAGACCGTCACAAAGGAGGGTGAGATACCCACAGTAGTCATGCAAGTACAGCTACATTCATATACTGCATCTACTGCAGCTGTGTATTCACGCAGCTGACAAACGCATGCATCACCTCACAGTTTCACACTCTAAAAATATCTCCCCAAATACGGTAATCAGTTGTAAATTTGGATGTTTTTTATGTTTACGCAAAATATATTATTTTTCTTTCTCTGTTGTTTCCATCAGCTGTTAACCAGGTCCTCAACCATGAAAAAAACCAGTGAGAAACACGGGAAGGCTTCGTGTGTGCATGTATGTGTGTTTGGGTACTTGAAAAAGTGATTGAGAGAGTGTATGCGTGTTTGCCACTTTGCTTTTGGTTTGTCCCCCCACCCCCCTTCCTTCCATGACGAATGATGATCGACCCCGCCACAATCATATGGTAAACTGAAGCTTCACACTCCTGAAATAAAATCACGACTCGTTGTGCATCTCCATTACTTTACTGCCATCGGTACTGCTAAGACAATCGATGAAACTGTGACCTTTTTATGAGATCTTATTTTCTTTGTTGTAGTGTGACAAAATAATGAAAAGAAATACGTTGATAGGAAAAATTGTGATTGTGTAACTGCAGGTTTCAGCAACAATGTCAGTGTTGTCTAATTGAGCCATTTGTGACAGAAAACTGAGGCTGATACAAGTATAACAGTAGATTGCCTTAAATGTGTCCATAAATAGCATTTTCGTTAACATTGTTAATTAAAACTGGAAGTTTTTACATGTCAGTAATGTCTGCATTGCTCTTACAAGCCTTATTCTCGCATGTGCCAAGCAGAATTTAAAGTCTGTTTGAGCTATTGGGAAGGTTCTCACTCTGTTTAACTGGATGACTTCTGTCTTTTGATATGTCTTAATTTATCTTCTCATAATGATGATACAGTAAAACTGGGATCCTGGTGAAATGAAAATAGTGTCTCTGTGTCTGACTTTAAACTTTGAGATTTATTTCTGTTCCTTCTGGGGCCCTCTCTCCAAGCAGTGTCATTCCTCACAAATTGGGAAATGGGATTTTATTTGGTCCAAATTACAATGTTCACACACCAGTGATTTCTATAATTGTTTTTTTCTTTTTTTTTTTTATAGCAGGGGCGAGTCAGGGAAATTGTATTTCTAGATCCATAACCTCTGCAGGTTCAGTTCTAGCTCATTTTGTAGCACAACATTTTCCTTAATATAATGAACTTTATCTGCAGTAATTGTAAACTGTATCCAGATGTCTTGCTCTGTCTTGGGAAATATTAAATGTTTCACCAACCCTTTTTGAAATTTACTTATATTACTTATATTTTTTTATTAAAGATCTAAACAGATGTTTTTAGTATGAAAGTACAGTAGAAATTAAAACATTTTTGCTACCCATTTCACAGATGTGGTTGAAAACTTTTTAGTATTTCAAATTTGGTATAGCAGGAAATGTTTTATTTTGTTGTTATTTGTTTAAAGGAAAATTCTAGTGCTATGCACACTTTCTCTCCCATCCTACATATCCTCTTGATCTTTTAACCTGTCACCCTCAAGTACATTTATGGGCTTTCAGACAGCCTAACCACCCACGCTTTAATTTGTGTTTGGCTCTGTATTCACGCTTGAGGGGCTTTGAATGGGAGGCCCTTTGTGTTCGTGCACTGGATGTAATGCATGGGAAATGGTGGACGGAGCTCGTGCGACGGCCACACACCACCACAGGGAGAGGAAGGCACCCATCTGGAAATGGCTGCTATGAAGATGTGTCTGCTGGGTGTTTGTTATGTATCCTCTAAGCCACCGGTAGCCGACGTGTTATTGATTGAACAGAAATGGGACACAGAAACCAATAATTGCATCGTGTTGCTGTGTGGTTTCATCCAAGGCTTTGTATGGAGTGTGGGCCCTGTAATGACTTAGAAGAAGAGCTGACGAGAACAGACAAAGAGAAAAAGACTTGAAAGGAGTTTTATGCATACGCAAACATTTGTCCGCTAGCTTTTTCTTATTACATGCTGCTTAGGCACACTATAGAGGTGTGACTAGAGATGACATCCATGGTTCCCAGAGCATGAACCTTAACAGTTTTGGTGATCTTCTGACTTTTCCTTTAGCATCATCCATAAGCTTGGCCTTTGTGGTTTTTGACTGAAATGTCTCAACTACTGAAAGAATTTTAAGAAAATTTGGCACACACGTTCAAGTTCTCCCTTCAGGAAGAATTGCAAAAACTTTTCAACATGTGCCATGATATAGTCAAATACCTAATAACTATTTTCAAATAATTTGGTTTATAACCTGCAAACTAATGACTTCCTGAATTCCTGCCTCATCTGTACTTTCTGTCTATTCAGTTAATCTGCAAGTCTTGGATAATCTTAAAAAGCAGTGGGGCAAAAAAAAAAGATGAAGTGAAGTTAGAAATTAGTGAAAGGTTTTGAATTCCATTTAAATTGAATATATTTTCTTGGGTTTAGCATAATATTAACATTTAATCTAGTGTTTGTTATATGTGATTGGCTACAATCTCATTCTTTGACCTGTTTGTGAAAAGTGATTTAGTATTTAAAAGGTCTTTTAAAAAGTCTTAAATTTACTTTGGTGAACACAGCAAAAACCCTGTTGGTGTTTATTGGAAAATTTTAGCATGCTTATAAGATAATCTAACATTGTTGTGATGCTAGCACAGTAGCAAAGATAAACTCAGTTATGTTTCCCAAGCACTTTCAGGACTTTCATACATTGTCTTGAAAAATTGAGATTTGAAATTTTAAAGTTCATTCTTATACCTGAATAGTGATATGAGGAAATTTAAGTTGTTGTTGTTGTTGTTGTTGTTGTTGTATGCTGCTGTGGATTACACACGGCCGAACAAATGCTAATCTCCTAAAAGGGTAAGAAGACTTCACTGTGAAAATAAAGGTAGGTTTACAGCCTCAGAGCTTATTTTAAGTCTTGTTGTGAATAATGACACTTGAATTGAATCTCTGGATCCCTCCCTTCGTCTGTCTCTTTTCTCCTGCCTAACCCAGCATTAACACCCACCCCCCCACCCCACCGCTCTTCTGCTCATTATCCCCTGGACTAAAACAATCAATGCTTCTTGTAATCACCCTGTCTGCTTGTCTGACGGCCACTGTCCCTCTGCAGGCCCTGCAGTTCCCCCGGCTCGCCGACAGAGGGGGACAAACCCATGCCTGACTGGATGGAGAGTTGGTGAGTCATACAGAGACCGTCACGTACTAACACAGCTCAAAACAAGGCCTGGTCTGCCTCGGCCATAGGCCTTTGGTAGCACCAGGTATGGGCTTATTCACGTTTATTTGTGTTATTAACCGAAATTAATGAAATTCACTCATCTCAACTGACGTGGGTTGAGAATTCATTTGGGCGTCTTTATAGCTACTGCATTGGTATACTTCCTGTTTCCCAGCCCCTACACTGTGTGTCATCTTTTTCTCTTACCATCGATTGCATGCTGTTTTGCTGTGTGNCCCCACCCCACCGCTCTTCTGCTCATTATCCCCTGGACTAAAACAATCAATGCTTCTTGTAATCACCCTGTCTGCTTGTCTGACGGCCACTGTCCCTCTGCAGGCCCTGCAGTTCCCCCGGCTCGCCGACAGAGGGGGACAAACCCATGCCTGACTGGATGGAGAGTTGGTGAGTCATACAGAGACCGTCACGTACTAACACAGCTCAAAACAAGGCCTGGTCTGCCTCGGCCATAGGCCTTTGGTAGCACCAGGTATGGGCTTATTCACGTTTATTTGTGTTATTAACCGAAATTAATGAAATTCACTCATCTCAACTGACGTGGGTTGAGAATTCATTTGGGCGTCTTTATAGCTACTGCATTGGTATACTTCCTGTTTCCCAGCCCCTACACTGTGTGTCATCTTTTTCTCTTACCATCGATTGCATGCTGTTTTGCTGTGTGCTGTGTGTATGTACTGTAGTATGTAGCCTGTACTGTAGGCTACATCCTGTATACACCACTACATTCAGGTATTCATTGCTCTGTCCATGGTGCTGAAACACAATGAGGTCGCTGTCCGTGGTGCTGATCCTGGATCTGACAATCAGGGATTTGATTTTTTTCATTATTAATTAATAGCTCACCAAGCAAACTTCACATATGACCTTATTAATAAAACAAACCATTCACCCGGAGTATTTCCACTCTCATGTATCCCTGTCTGCAAAAAGCCTAATCTAATCCGATGAATCCAACTATTCAGACTTGTTTATTCTCACCAAACTTCACTCACGATTTCACCAATTTTAGTTGTCTTTTCATTTCTGCTGCTCTCGGGCCAAAGTGGAGCTGGCATATATCTGACCTGGCCCTGGAGATATCTGGGAGTTACAATATACTTGGCTGTGGCTGAAACATCGACAGAATCATTTTGGAAATGAAATGGGGCTCTGCTTAGGTTACATTTTTGACCGTGAATGTAATTTCATCAATTGGGCTACTTTAATATGATTTGTTGCTCAGGGACCAGCGACCTTAAACATGCTTTGTTATATATGATCAGATTGTGGCTCTGCATTAAGTATTGTAGTTGGCCTTTGCAGTTTCTCATTCATCTAATTTTTTTTGTCATTTTTGAGCTTTGGTATGATCCTGTGGTGACATTCCCACAGTTGCATCCATCCAGGGCATTTTTTTTTTTTTTTTTATTAGGGGAAGCCTTTTTTTTTTAATGGCTTATTTTGCTGGCATCCAACCACTAGGAAGTGTATGAACTGACAGAAAATCAAGTGTGGACAGAAAAGGGAGAGAGGGCATAGCACCTCCCACGTCCTATCTGTGAGAAAGAGAGAGGAGAGAGATAGAGAGAGAGAGAGTCTGCTGTGGTGGTGTTAGAAATCGGACGACATGAGCTCTACATGAACCGCGTAAAATGCTTTAGGACGCTTTCGGCGTTTGTCTTTCATCCGTCTAAACCAAGGACGAGCCTGAAGCGGAGCTATTCTTCACGACCAGGTATGGAGATGCTGCTCGGCCCCACATCTTATATGGAGGTTAGATGTTGGTATTCGGTGGCGTAGCCGCGGTCCTTCTGCCTGGCTGACTGTTGTGTGCGCACACGATTCCTGCTGCTCACGGCCAACACGGGATGACGAGTCTCATTTATTTTGTTAGTGTTGGTTTTAAAATGCATCCACGCCGGCTCTTATCATGCCTCGCGTCGGTTGTTTGATAACCTCGGATGGTGTTAATTGTATGTATGTATGTATGTATGTATGTAGCCTATGCCCGCACAGCCATATTGGAAGTCAGCAGGGGAGAGAGAGAGAGGGCTGAGCAGAGCAGAGATATGAGGGTGTCGGGATTATCATATTGCTTTGAGGAGTAAAGGGAGGTGGAGGCGGAGGAGGGGGTGAGGGGCGGGGGGCTTCGCTGCGACTGCGAAATGATGGCACAGCTTGCGAAGATGGCGATCCTCTGGTATTTATGAATGAACCGAGCAGGAGTAGGGTGGTCTGTAATGGCGTTGCGCAACAATCTGCGGACCGACGGCAAAGCCCTCTCCTGCCAACCCCTTCCTGACCACAGCCGAGGTGGAGATGCACGTCAATATTAGACTATACACTAATAATGACGCCAGCGTGACGCATAAAGCCCAGTTTCTGTGGCAAATACCACGGTTAATCCTCCATCTGGATCTGTGTTTCTCCATGCTTCCTCCTCCTCCTCCTCCTCCTCCTCCTCCTCATCCATCCCTGGTGTGATGTTTGTTGTGGGTCTCATGACTGGAAAGGAAAGCTACCATGACATGCAAAAGGAGTTGTGAATCATTTAGGCCTTCTCTGTGCATGTGTGTGCGTATGTATATGTATGTGACTCAACTTCCTGTATGCATTGAACATTGCCAGTCATGGGTGTGTGTGTGTGTTGCAGGGTTTCAGAGAGGAGAGGAGAGGAGAGGAGAGAAGAGATGTATGACAGTAAATCCTGTGATTAAGCTTTAAAGTGTGCGGCTGACAGGAGCACAGAGATGCAGACTGTATTAAAGCGTGCATGTGCTGGGGGGGTAAGTGGAAATGTGGGGGCAGTGTGGATGTCCTGGATGCCTGCTTGTCCGTTTGTTTGTCTTTTTTGAACAGCCACAGTACAGTTGCATAAGAATACTCCACTCTGCTCAGGCAGGACAAAGAAATGACTCAATACATGGTAATAAGGAGAAAACACAGAGAGAGGAGAGGATGCTGGTGATGTTGCTAACACATCTGATGATGCTGGAGACAAGTATAGATGATACTAATTGATAACCATGAGGATTTTTGGTGTGTGTGTGTGTGTGGGGGGGGGGGGGGGGGGGGGGGGGGGGGGGGGGGGGGGGGGGGGGAGGGGGGGGTCTTTTTTGTACTTAAGGCCCAGTGAAAGCGCCCTACAAAAGGCCGTGTGAGATAACTAAGAGTGAGGATGGCCAGATGTTGAGGAAGATGTGAATGCTATTGCGGGATGTCACTTATGTCTTCTTATGTCTGGAGACTGGTGGGATATTTCACATTTTATAGCTCCATAAACACAAAGAAACAGCAGTTTTCTGCAGCTATCATGATCAGGTCCATCCAGAGCTGCAGCCATGAATCGAATGTGGCTCTCAGAGACGGCTGTGTGGCTCTAGAGCAGGCCTTGTATCACTTATCGAGATCAACAAATACAAAGTTGTTTTCCAAAAAAATAAACAGAAAACAGTGAACATTTTATGTCAAATAGCAACAGCAAAATGAGGAAAAAGGACAAATAAAACATCAATATCCACATATAAGTATACACAAATGTACATAATGGCTTAGTGAGGCAGCAGTTACTCCAGATGCAGAAAAATGCTCACGACTCAAATATATTTGGTTGATAAAAAGTCAGTTAGTAGGGAAAATGAATTACAAAAGATTCTCCTTTCATTGAGCAATTTTGCATCAGTGGATTGTAGCCCTTGTTGTTGTTGTTGTTGTTGTTGTTGTTGTTGTTGTTGTTGTTGTTGTTGTTGTTGTTGTTGTTGTGGTGGTGGTGGTGGTGCTGGACGACTGCCATTTGTCATTGCGTGAAGCTGTGAATTTGAACTAGTTTCCTCCTCGGGAAGACCATGCATGCTCAATGAGCTGCTTCCTCATATTTACACCTCTGAATACCAGGTGGATCGTCCTAATTTGGAGTAATTGGCGAAGAGATATACTAAAGGAGGTTACTTTAATCAGGTTTAAGTGCTTTGTGTGAGAGCAGCATGCAGTTTTTGACCATGCCCCATCCTGTGTTTGTTCCCACATTTGTGCATATATACTTTTTTTTTTATGGAATATTGTTTAATTACAGAGAAGGAAACAACTGACAATGCTGCAACAACAACAACAACAACTGGCGAACTGTACTGTATTTAAGTGAGCAATGAATCAGAATTTTGTCAATGCTCGCAACATCATGTTTAACTTGGAGGGGTAGTAGCCCTCCCTATGTGGCATTTTAATTGTAGAAAAAAACCACTAAATATAATTTAAGTTTAATCACAAAAGTATGAAACAAAAACTGATTCTCTTCTCCAAGTGTGCACATATGTACGGGTTCGAGACAAGTGGCAGCAGAGCTTCACCTGGTTATTTGTATTGATTCAAATAGTTCACTGTTGTCTCCTCAGGATGTTTAAGTCTGTCTGTTGCTTTGACAGCACAAGTCTAGTCAAGTGCACCATCACTGTTGAGCACCTCTGAGCTATATATAACCGTATACTCCATATTGTCTGCTTTAATACTGGAACAGATCAATGCTAAAGTGTTCTAGTTGCACTGACGGCATCAGCTCATTTGAAAGGGCCACACAGTCTTCATTAAACGTGGCATCAGACAGGATGCTGTTGGTCTTGTGCATAGCTAATCGCAGGACAGGATGGTCAGCTCTGGTCAATTATGCGCACCGTGACCTCCGAGTTAACGTGTTTTATTTGACATTTTTCTCAAACATCAGCTGGTCATTTAGTGTAAAATGCCACCTGTCTTTAAATCTGTTTTAAGAAATTATGAGAACTGAGGGAAAAAACCAAAAAAAACCAAAAGCATCCTGTGGTTAGAGATGAAGACACGTTAACTATTGGTTTCTTATAATTCTGACTGCATCAGGAGAGCGTCAGCAGCAGTCTGGAGCAGGATTCCCTTGTTTCTGCTTTTAGCCATCTGCGTTGTTATCAGACCTGGATCAACTGGTATTATAAAGAAAAAAAAAAAAAGCTGTGCCTGGTTGATCTCGTCAGTTCCAAAACTACCAACCTTGTCACCATCTGTCACTGCAGGCATGCTTCTGCAACACACTCCCACTAGTCTGTAATTAGTCCTTCAGGTCAGGGCCTTCATAGCTTCTAAGAATAAGCTTTTTTGAAAAATAAATACATTTGAATAAATTATGCAGATTTGAAAATAAACGTGGTTGCCAGTGATCTTTCCACTTCTTTGGCCTAGTCCTGGTGTTATTGGCCAGGTGCATGTGTTTTTCCCAGATTGTCAGGCTGAGGTATTAGCAGAGTCTTATGGAGAGGCCAGACGGAGCAACCCAGGGTTCCCCAGGTCAAGCTAATACTCGCTACTAACACACACTCAAAGACTAATTACAGGTGCATCTTACATCCGGTCCTGTGTAAAACTGCTGCATAGAATCAGCAGGATTATGGTTACAATGTCTGATTACAGCTCAGGAATCAATCTACCTGAAGGGAAAATGTTTCCCTCTGAAACTCTAAATTGAAAAATGCACATTTACTATGTGTTTTCATTTTTGAAATCCTTGTAGTTGCAGGTAAGGGGGATGTTTGAGATGCAGACTTTAGCTTATAAAAGACATACATCGGTGGAAGTCTTCAAAAAATGTGTAAATTCACTTTTCCTGTCCAGATATTTGAATGTACAGATTTCTAATCTCAATGTGGCACCCAGCAGGGTCTAATCTGCTCCATATTCAATTCTGGCTAATAATCTTATTTTCAGGTTTAATTTGAGTTTAATGATCATATTACAGCCCATTGGATAATTACTGCTCTCTGTCTCTCATAGTCTGCTCTTGTTGCTACTTTTTAAGTGACTGTCTCTGCGAGCAACATGCGCTGCTGCAAACAAACTAAATCTTAATGATGACAAATATCTGGATTCTGTGGTAAAACAGGCCTCTTTGGTTCATTCTGTATATTAGTAGTTTTACTTGCAGAGATTTTAGGAAAGTGTTGTTATGCTAAATGCTCTATAATCAAATTCTCCCTAAAACAACAATGAGCTGTGCACAAGTTAGGTTTGACCTGGATAATTCCAAGTAAGAAATATAACCCAGCTGTTTTATGATAGTGGGTTCGGACCAGTCATAATTCCCTCTCCTGCCACAGCTCAGTGCAGACGTTGCAGAGACTTACTGCAGAGCGTCAATAACTCAGTCGCTACAAACTTTGGCTTTATGAATGCATTAAAGAACAATTTACTTTACAAAAAGATGTTCATCATCCAGGCAGAAACGAGGCTGGTTTTTGCTTGATGAGGTGAGGTTTTCACAAAATCAGGTGCAATTTGCAAACAATCTATTCCAAACTGAGTGTGAAAACCACAGTTTTTGTGGTGAAAATTTCACACCTCATATAAACATATTTTTTGTTCACATAACTATACAAACTGCTCTTTTATGACTGGATGATGAGGACCAGTTTTGTCAACTGTATTTTGAAAATATTTCATTAAGCTTAAAGATGGTAGAAATGGATCATGCTTATTGACCATGTCTCACATTCCCAGGCCTTAAGTATGACACTCAACATAATGAACATAATATCGTACTAGAAAAAATTCAACCTGTGCACATCTCTTCTGAGTCCTGCAGAAAATATATCGTCAGTGTCTGGACTGTGGTTTAATAGATGGATCTTCTGCTGCAAACCCCCTGGTGCTAGTCAAATGTGATGTGAGTAACAGCAGACAGTCACAGACAGTCAGAAGTCACCTACATTATTTTTG